CCGCGTCCGTGTCGAGCAGTGCGGCCGCCGAGCACGAGCAGCGAGAGGCAGCGGCCAAGGAGAAGGCGCCACCGCCTGCGCACCGGGGCCCGGCTGACAGCCTCTCCGCCGCGGCCGGGGCGGCCGAGCTGGGCGTGGAGAGCGCGGGCAAAGGCCGTGGGCCCGGCGAACAGGACTGGGTCAACAGGCCCAAGACCGTGCGTGACACGCTGCTGGCTCTGCACCAGCATGGCCACTCGGGGCCCTTCGAGAGCAAGTTTAAGAAGGAGCCGGCCCTGACTGCAGGCAGGTTGCTGGGTTTCGAGGCCAACGGGGCCAACGGGTCTAAAGCAGGTAGGGGCGGCTGCTTAGTGAGTGGGTCACTGGGAGAAAGGGAGATGCAGAGCGGAGGGAGGAGAGGGAGTTCTGTCTGGCCACCGCCACCCAGCCCCCAGAAACAACAAACACCCAACTTCCTGATGTGCCCAAGGTGGAACCAGGGCTTAGTGGCAACGTGTTCATGTGCTGAAGCAGCATAACAGATGAGTCAGACTGGGCTGCCTGACGCAGGGTTTTCCTTCCCCAGCACATTCTTGGACGTGAGCAACAGGGCACCAGGCACCCTTTAACCTGTTGGGGGCCGTGCACAATGCAGACGTGGGCAAACTGCAGGCCCGCATAGTTTTAAATAAAAACAGGCGGTGGTCTGTAAGTCCCTGTGCGTGGGGGCCGTGCTTTTTCAAATCTCTCGTGTACTGTCAGCTCTGGAATGGTGTTGGGGGTTGCACGTGCACTTGAAGCTCATGGGTTTTATATGTACAACGATATGTTTTTAGGGCACATTGAGAATGCTTTTAAGTTTTGCTTGATGTAGCTAAAGAAAAGACTTCATCGCATATTCACTTCTTCTTCTTCTTCTTTTTATTTTCCTGTAAATGTTTTCCCAGCTGCAAGAACAGCAAGAAAGAGGAAGCCTTCTCCAGAACCCGAAGGTGAAGTTGGGGCTCCAAAGATCAATGGTGAGACCCAGCCGTGGCTGTCCACATCAACCGAAGGGCTCAAGATCCCCATGACTCCCACATCCTCTTTTGTGTCTCCACCCCCACCCACCGCCTCACCTCATTCCAACCGGACCACACCGCCTGAAGCAGCCCAGAATGGCCAGTCCCCCATGGCAGCCCTGATCTTAGTAGCAGACAATGCAGGTGGCAGTCATGCCTCAAAAGATGCCAACCAGGTTCACTCCACCACCAGGAGGAATAGCAGCAGCCCACCTTCTCCATCCTCAATGAACCAAAGAAGGCTGGGCCCCAGAGATGTGGGGGGACAAGGAGCAGGCAGCACGGGAGGACTGGAGCCCGTGCACCCTGCCAGCCTTCCGGACTCCTCTCTGGCAGCCAGTGCGCCCCTGTGTTGCACCCTCTGCCACGAGCGGCTGGAGGACACACACTTTGTGCAGTGTCCCTCCGTCCCTTCCCACAAGTTTTGCTTCCCCTGCTCCAGACAAAGCATCAAACAGCAGGGAGCAAGTGGAGAGGTCTATTGTCCCAGTGGGGAAAAATGCCCGCTTGTGGGCTCCAATGTCCCCTGGGCCTTTATGCAGGGGGAAATTGCCACCATCCTGGCCGGAGATGTGAAAGTGAAAAAGGAGAGAGACTCTTGACTTTCTGATTTTTCTGATTGCAGAAAACCCCGATGATTACCCTTAACTAAAACTGTTTGAATTGTATATAT